AGTTCCTTAACAGCAGCCCAGTATTCTACCCTAAAGGCTTAATGGTGCGCTCTGTCACCTTGAAAGGCAGAAAAGGTCGGTGGGGACCTTGACCTTGCTGGCAGCTTCTTTCGGGCAATCATTACCATGACTGCAAGTACAAGTATCATAACATTTTTTGATGCAATAATAATGCTTGCTGCCACGCATGACTATGCATCTTACCATCAACATTCCGTTGGAAGGATTGAGTGTCACGTTTCTCACCTTAATGTGCTTCCAGCATGGCTACATACACGGTACCCAGAGAACATGCCGAAGCTCCTCCATATCACCCTCGATGTAGCGGACTCGCGCATTCACCCGGTCCTGCCTCTTGACGCCGTCCTCCGGCTTGCGAAGCTATAGAGATGTGATCCGTTGGAACTTCATGGGGCTTATTTATGTAAAGTACTCATGCATGGTGTCTAGCCAGGGCTCTGTAATGAGTATAGCTCATGCAGCCATGATTGCAGAGTGAGGTCCTCAAAAACAAGCATACCCTATAAATCAAGCCGTGCTGTCCTCAAGAGAAGCAGCACGTGGAAGAGTGCGAAGAAACCGTCGGATGATTTCTGATTCAGAACATATGAGCTCCCAAATTGCACTCTCACACCCGCCGCACTCATGCTTTCACAAGAGAAGCCTGGCTGCTAAATGATGGCCAAGGAGCTTCACAATGGAAATCCGATACCCCAAAAAGAGTAAGTCTATGTAGCACTCTTTCCATCCTGAGTATACCCTTCCATTATGATCCTCTGTACAACTACCAGCATAGGCTTCCAGGTAATGTGAAAGCAGCCAGATGCTCCTTGAATGGCAGTCCCTTCACCTTGGGGTGGAAGCGCAACCACCAAGTGGCCACCTGCATAAGGCGTGCGTCTGCTAATGGCGTGCCATCAGGCTAAAGCCTACTGGATGCGCATGAAATTGCTACAAAGCTACCTGCCCGAATTCTCTGTAATATCTGCATGATACATGGCCAAGAGCATTGTGACGGAGAACGGTCTTTCAGTCGGAGAGACTTCTTCAAAGTCAGCCGTGTTGAGCTGCACTGCAACCATGTGAGGCCCCTGTGCCGGTATATAAAGCCAAAGCTAAGACACTGCCCTCAGCATGGCAAACCAAATCACTCAGCCTATGAAAGTCGTGCGAAGCATGTGCTTCCCAGAGTGGCCACGCAAGCGGAACTTTATCCCTGGTCGTTTCTTCTCTTGCCAGAGCCCCAGACTTTGCCATTAGCCCATACCCCAGGCCCCACCACACCCCTTTGCTGAAAGAAAGGCAGGCACCCTACCCCTGGAAGTTTCTAAGACTTTTATCTTTGATCCCTGACGTAACCATGGTAGTTCCCATAGCTTAGGTTATAGGTTACACGTGCCTGATTTCCTATTAAATCCTTACCCGCCTTTGGAATGTGGAACACGTAGGGAAAATGAATGGGACTACGGTGGAGCGGGTTCTTTTGACAAACGTTAAAGGTAAACAGAAAATTGCGATCAGGCTATGGGGACTGAACATTTCATGCGATTCGAACTCCCGAACCGTGCAACAGCAAAACCCCAAGGCATACAGCTCTAAAAGCCCCTAAACCCTAAACCTTGGCCGCAACCCTGGATCCTAAGCAAACCTGAAACCCTCTAATCCACAAACAGCAAAACCTAACCGCGGACACACCTTGCGGCCCGCAAGCTTGACGCAGTCCACTCGGCTCTGCTGGCCTTCCCAGGTAAATGTTTTGGGATATTTGGGGGTTTAAGATCTAGGGTTGTTTAGGGCTTAGGGTTAATCCAATATAGCTGAGAAAGACCAAAAGACATGTTCCGAGCAGCAAGCTTGTGCGCACGTTAGGGCTAACCTCCTCATCCAATCTCAGCTGACCTTGCCACTCATCATTTTACATGCTCGGCACAGACTTAAAGCCCAGAAGCGCAATCAAAGCACCAGCATGTCCCAGATTCCCAAACACGAAGCCATGTGACCCCAAGCGTGCATACAACCTATACCGCTGACAGGAGCGCGTCTCAACATGGGAGTGCCACGACGTGTTCGCAACTGACTTCTTACTTCCAAAATATGAGGACCCTCGCTCAAGGGACCCTATGAAGAAAGCACCCATTACCTGGCGAAACTACCAAGTGCTACCTGCACCCACGCCAACCATCATGCCGTTCTTGCTGTAGCCCACCGAGTTGGACTGCGTGTACCTCTCGTCTACTTAGACCCTCCATCTACCCCGTATATACCCTAAATACCAACTATATCAGGGACCATATCCCCCTGTTTAAAGGTAAAAGGAGGGTCCTGGCACATTGAAACGACTAGAAAAACGATCGGGATGTGTGGAAGCCAGCCTGAGGACCCCATGTCTCCTGAGGTAGGGTCCTTACCTCTGTATACTCCCTATAATATACTATGCAAAACCATAATATACTATACTACTGTTGTAATATACTTTTGTGGCGAGCCCTCCATTGTAAGGGCCATATTCAGTTTCGCACTATGGTGGAGTACTGGCTAAAAGGTAGACAATCTGAAGCATCAATTTTAATCCGCATGCTGCTTTGAACGTCTTCTTGCTAGCCAATTTGTGGCACTTGATGGCAATCGATGCCAGGATGAGGTCCTTCTGTGCCTTGAACAGAGATACCAAGCAGGAACCAGCACACGCAGGTACTAAGGGAGCCCCTTCATGGGGAAAAAGTTTAAGGGACTATCCATACAACACGGAGATTCTAGTTGCCCAGCCCTATAGTCCTCTGATACCGGTGTTCGCTTCGAAGGGGTACTGCAACACATCACCGCAATATGTATGTATGTATGTATGTATGTATGTATGTATACATACATATGTACCCCTATATCTCTATACATATCTATGTATAAGTATACCCCAATACTGCATTGCATGAGCAAGGAACCTAATTCAGGGCTGCTCCCATGGGCCAGCCTCTTCTGTGAAAGTCTAAGACTAAGAAAAAAAAGCCGCCTTGTCCGGAATAGTCTTGCTGCTGGTGACCACCTGAAGGGCTTAGGCAGGAGTGAGTCAATATAGGTACCATTATGGGGGTAACTCTCCCGGTTAGGAAGGGCATGAGCACTTCTTGATTAGGCGCTGGGAGCCACATGTTTTCCTCTGTAACCCTTCAACTGGGTTGCTGTTATATGGTTTCCCCAATATAACAAATTAAACTAAGTCCTTAACAGCAACCCAGTAAAGGGCAGAAGCGTTCTTCTCAACGGGGCCTTGCTAGCTCTTATCAGAAGCTCTTTTGCATGCTGCAAAGACCGAATTGGTAGTGTCCCAAATTAGGGACCCCAATATAAACCCCAATGTACTATTGGCCGTTTTAATTTTTTGGACCCCAAAAAAGTTACCCCTAATCTTGGGAAACCCCGCCAATTTATGGTAGAAATTCCATGCGCGCTATTCACGCTTTTTGCCCGACGCCTTTGGCGACGGCTGCAACCCCTTCAATGCCACTGCCTCCTCCTCCAACCAGTCTGCAACATCCCTCTTTATGTAAGCATACCCTTTGTGCTCCAGCCACGCGACTTCCGCCTTCTGCGAGTTCCCCAAACCTTCAGAAGACTCCAAGAACTCGCGCTCCTCATCTGTCAGGGAAGTCAAGAATATCCGATGCACTTCGCGGTCATATGGTGAAGAGCTATCTGCTCGTGGCTTCTTGGAGAGGCAAGCCAGGCCGCTGCCCAATGCAGCCTGGAAGGTTGCAGATTGAGTGAACATCCCCTTTTGAACCTCCAGGCGCTCTCTGCGCTTGTTTTCGGCACCTGCCGTGGCAAAAGTGGCGACCGTCCCTTTGCCAACCATATTGGCAAAGAAGTAAACTTCTAGAACAGCACCCGACTTCACGGCCTCCTCGACGTTTTGAATCCAGAGCGCGAACCAACGGCAGCCCCAGGGCTTTTTCCCGCCGTACAAGGGCTCGCACCAGCATGGCCCTTTGAAAGGCTCGTTTTGAGGTATGCGGCTGTGCTTGCCAAACTCCGGAGTGCCATCCGGCAAAAAAACGACAGCTGCGCTGACGTTACCTTCCCGAGCCGTGGCAACCATCGTGTCCCAGGCCCCTTCGTACCTAGGTTGCTTTCTTGCAGGACCAAACACCATAAAGCTTATTGACTGGCATGCATGCCAAGCTTAACTGGCATACCGGACATACTTAAACAACTGTACCTTCTCATTTAAAACTGCCCAAGGACTTCCCTGGCCACGAGCAGATGCAGGCTCGGCCTTGCTCCCGGATGACTTTGCCCTTGAAGACGATGCTTCGCTCACGTACGTTGGCCTCCGCCTCGCGTAGTCGTCTGTGCCAAATTTCACTGTCCACCTCCCCTGCTCCCTCCAAAGCCCTGTTTGCGCCCCAATAACACGTGAGGCAAACTCCTGGCCAAATCAGAAACACCGTCCACCAGTATCCATGAAGGCTGTGCTGCACCGTCATCGCCACCAGCAACAGAAGCGTAAACAGCCCCAGCAGTAGGAACAGAGTGGTCCAACAGGCTGCGTCACGACCATAAGCAACTTCAGCATGCCCTTTTGCAGTGCATGAGACTTTCATTGAGATGAAGCAGCTGGCACAGAAGCTCAATGACAGCGCAAAAATACTTAGGAACACTGCACCAAGGCCACTTGTGGGTGGGATGCCAGCCAAATTCGTAAGTATCGCCACGGGCAGGCAGACGCAAAGAAGGAAGGGGCACAGAAACTCATGGCTCCTGGTCTTGTTGTTATGCTTACCATGTGAGGATGACCATTTGTGTTATCACTTTTGTTGTATGGATGCATAGCGCGTCGTGTAGCCATGCGTTGATGACTGCTACTACTCGAGTATTCTTACTACTTCAGGCGGTATCATATTGGGAAATTCTCGAAATGGGGGCATTCAAGCGGCCCTTGTCGACGATTTCCCAAAGCATCCTCCATCCGTCCTTGAACACAAAACCCCGACACCAAAAACACTCCAGCCCTGCACCCGAAACGCAAACCCTGAAGCCAACCCGCGCACCCCAAAACCCTAAAACATGTCGCAGGCTGTCCAACTTGTAGAGTGTACCCAAAAAGGGATCAGAATTTTGACAACCCCTACAGTGATGTACCGTCATCTCTCCTCTCGCGCGCGACCATGTCTAAAGCCTGCTCAATGCTTGCGGCTTCCCTTCGCTTCCCGGCTTCACTCTTCCGCCGGATGTTGCAAGCTGCCTGTTTAGGCGTCAGGCTTGAGGGGCTTTGAGGGTTTACGGGTTCAAGGGCCTAGGATTTAAGGTCTTTGGCAGGATTCAGCGGTTTACCGTTTACTGTTCAGGGGTTTGAGAAGGCAGGGGCTTAGAGTTTTATGGCTTCAGGGTTTAGATCTCGCGGGCTTGAGGATTATCAGGTAAATTCCCCAAACCCCTTAAAGCCTGTAGTCCCCATAAGTAGATAGAATATGGCTTGGGGTATATTACAACAAGATCCCATATACCCCATACTCTATCTACTGAAGGGGGACTATAAACCCTAAAGCGCGTCTACTGCGGGTAAAGGGCAAGTTGCCTCCAACCTCTCCTTCTTGTCTCTACGGACTGCCTCACCTGAAGGATTTAGGGTTTAGGGTTTGGGGTGTGGGGCTTAAGGTTCAGGGTCATGTGAGGAGTCTTGGGGATGGGTGTTTCCCCCCGAAATTTTGGGGTAATGGTGGAAGCTCAAATAGAAAAGAGCGCGGGAAACGAAATGATGCGGTACAGTTTTCGATGCGTTTCTACTTGTTGGGGATTTCCCTCTCTGGAATCTACCATACACAGCAGCTAGCAGCAGGCTGTGTAATGTGAAGGGGTTCGTATATGTAACCTTATGGTTTGTCGGGGTAAGCATGTTGGTATGGCTTCTCCAAGGAGAAGTTCTTTCCCCTACAGTCACGAATTCCCTTTTCATAGCAAGCAACAATCGCATGACTCCATGCATGCAGGGACTCTTTGTAAGCAGGGATTGAGCTCCTTCATTGAAACCACTGGAACCACAATACTCGCTGGCATGTTCTCGTATACCGAGGATCCCGGTACCCCAAATCACCCTCTCCCTTTTACATCTAACAATCCCCGACCCAAATATTATTGTAGGCAATCGCATGTACTGGGGACCACCTTTAATTTTCAAGGTCTGGGAAGTACTTTACCACGAGGGGGATAGGCTTACTACAAGTTGGAGCCTGGACTTAAGCAGCACCAGCTTGATGAGTGGTTAAAGGCTTATGGGCTTTGAAGCCTAGACATTGGCCAAGATCAAATGAACTTAACAAATAACCAGGCACACAATTGCACAACATCATTTCCGGGCACATGGAAAGACTAGACACGACTTTGCAGAAATGCACCAAGTCACGACTGAGATCCTGTAGATCCTTGGAGGCGCGAAGAGTCCCAGATGGGGTGCACTGGCAAACCACGTCTGGGGCTTCTCGCAAGCGGACCTCGATCATTCCTTGCATCTTTAGGGCTTAGGATTTAGGATTGCGTTTTTTTTGAACGCGAATTTAGGGTTTAAGATTTAGGGTTTAGAGTTTGTTTACTTACCTTTGATTAGCTAGAAACCAAGGAATGGATCCCTATAATAGTCCCTATATAACCCGTTATAGTAATTGCCATGCTCTTTCCATTCCTTCATAATTCCCAGCTAACCAACGGCAAGTACAAGGTTTTGGAGGGCTGGGCTTGCGTCACTGCACGGTTTTCCGCAGGACGTAGATGCCAGAGTGTATAGGGTTTGGGGCTGTAAAGTTTGGGATTAGGGACTCAGCTCTTGCCGGTTGGGCAAACAATTCAATTGCAGCAGTCCTGGAGAACACAGACTTTTCATGGCCGGGCTACTGCGTTCGAATTTCCCATGTTCCAAGTCAGCAGATTTGGAAGACTTGCGGTGCAGTCGTGCTTTTGGCTTGGGGGTCTAAAAAGAGTCAAGCTCAGTCAAGGGTAGCTGCTTTTCTGGGAGCTGTCGGCCGCACATCGTGTGATAAGATACCCCCCCAGCACTAAGGCAAGTTCAATACACAACTCTCACTGACAGTCCCTGCAAAGCTCCATGTCGAGCAACCTCTAGCTTCCTTTCGGTTAGCTAGGAATCAAGGAATGGATCCCATACTAGTCCCTACATGACCCATTGTAGCAGTAGTTTCCACTTTCTTTTCCATTCCTTCATTCCCAGATAACCAAAGGTCAGCTAGCAGCTCAAGTAAACATCTCTCAGCTCTCCATCCATCGCCCCAGGTTCCATCTTGGTTTGCGAGATCCAGCTCTCGCCCGGGGTACAGTACCTCTTTTTACCGGTGCTCTAGCATGATGATACTGGCCTTTGGTTAGCTGTGAATGAAGGAATGGAGAAGAAAATGGAGAGTAGTATAATGGGTTATATGGCGACTACTATAGAAATCCATTCCTTCATTCCTACCTAACGAATGGCCAGGATAACCATAGTCATCACCATTGCTTCGCTACTGCTGCATACACATTTTGGCGCAGGCGTGGGTCATCCAGTGTACGTTCATCAAAACACGGGCCCTGAAAAAAACAACTCCATGTCTTCACAAACCCACACCCTGAACCATGTTAGGTCTTGCCTCTGGTTAGCAAGAGATCCTTGTGGTAGCCCCTAGTTCGTTTCCAATTATGTACCAGTGTCTATGTTATTTTCCATTCTGCCATTGCCCTGAACCCTAAACCCTATACCCTAAAACATAGACCCTAAACCCTCCTGCCAGCTCTGGCCCATGTTGACCTCGATCGGTGCGTCCAGATCATTTCTCAGCGACGGTCTGGCGACCCGGCCACCCATGGCGAAGCTCTCTTCCAGCACCCTCCCGTACCCTTTATAAATGGGGGGATATGGTCCCCAATAATGGGTATTTAGGGTTTATGGAGGGTACATGGAGGGTCTACGTCTTAAGGGAGCTTTCAGGTGGGTAGTTAACAGGTGGGTACCCTCAAGTAAGGCTTATATAAGGCTTATGTGGGGATAGTAGGACTAACCAAGGGCTATTTGAGGCTTATATGGGGGAAACTACCCACCTGAAGCTTCCTTAGATTCTCTTTGGACCTACAAAGGAGAAAGACAATACCCCCAGAATGCCCGAGCGGGCTGGACTTGAGCAATGTAATATAGTATATGCTATAGCATATTCTAGCAGCTAGCACATTATCGTATAGTGTAATATAGTATATCGCAGGATAGTTTCTTGTTTCCTTCAAGACAAAGCCCTGACGATGGCATTCGCCAAGAGGCGCTGGAAAGCAGGATGCTGGATTGCATTGCCAGGCTAGAGCCAAACACCATCAACGTACAATAGTCCCCCCTGAAGTAGATAGAATTTGGGGTATATTATTCGGGGGTATATTTTTGGGGTTATATAGGGATAATGGAAAAGAAAAATGGAAACTACTGCATTATAATAGGGTATATATTGGGACTATAGTCCCCCTTAAGTGAGGTATATGAGGATCTTACGAAAATATACCCAAAGCCATATTCTATCTACTTAAGGGGGACTATAGCTGACTACTAGCTCATAACTTGTATACGATTTACCTTAACCCCCGATAGCCAGCCAGTACATGCGAAATCCAGATCTACTATGATATACTATGTTTTATGTAACTATATTATACTATACTAAAATATACTATAATATACTATAGTATATATACGTTAACCTACTATAATGTACTATAAGTAGTGAAGTGCACCGCTCGAACCAACCTTACCTGCACAATCTGCATGTGTGCTAGCAGCAGTCAGTCAGGGCTATGTTCTGTCGTACGGGACTTGGGCCAAACATGCCTACCCAAGAAACGCAGACGCCATCATGGTGGCCCGCGATTACCCCTCATGCTGGGGATCTTCTCAATGTAAGAAGTTCTTCTCAACTGTTGAAAGCGCACCAAGAGAGGCGTTCCGCAGACAAAGTGTGGAGCAGGCTCAATGTCATGTGCGTTTGAGGCTGATGGGGGGCTGGGATTTCACAACATGATGTGAACCTTCTGTCTGGATCCGCATGCTTGTTGCTGATGAACTTTCATGATTTACAAGCTCATCTGGCTGCCAGGACTGGGTCCTGTTACAGAGGGGGGTCCATTAGCAGGAGCTACACACACCAGGTTCCATCTTAACGTTGCTTGATGTTGCTTGCTGCATGTCCTCTCCCATGCTACAGCTACAGGACCCTTACATGATTGTGGCTAACTGTCGCGGCACCAGCCTGCTATGACATCCCACTCCGCCTCGGACAGCTTGGATGCGTCGAAGATAGCATCGTTGCGCTTCTGCATGAAGCCAACACCCCCGACCATTCCTTGGCCGGCCACTGGTTCTCCATTTGCCCTGGATTCTTGTCATCTGGGAGTTTCTCAAATATGTCCAGTTTTTCTGTTGCTCCGGGGCAACCAAGGGCCAACCTGTTGGGAGCCCCTCTCTTTGAACAGAAGAGAGTTCCAAACTATGGACACTGAAGAGTGTTGCCTGGATCTCATTCCTTCACTCTACTTAAAGAGGACTGTAGTTTTCGCGCATCAATCCTCGTCCTGAGACCTGAGAGATGAAATCTGGGCCTCCACCTCCGCAGAGTATCGGCACGGGCTAAGACACCCCCCCTCTAATTCTGGAAAAAACTGCTCCGCGATCAACGCATACGGCTGAAAGCGCTATGAAAGAGCTTGAGAACTTAAGGACAAACTCCTCGGCACAAATGCATCAGACCTCGGAGCAAAACACTTTCAGCCAGCCTTTGCAAGTAATTCCCCTGTATACCCCACAGTTTCCATTTCATTTTCCATTTTCTTTTCCATTTGAATCTCCATTATTGGGGGGTAATATCCCTAAACCCTAAACCCCTAAACCCTGACCCCTAAACCCCTAAACCCTAAATCCCAGCTAACCCACAGGCCAGCCTTTGCCGGGGCACGGTACTCAAGGTCGCTGTACTTGAAGCCGGCGTCAGCCTGCAGGACCTCATCTGCACAGTCACGGATAATGGGAATAATTTGGGTACTGCCCCCACCCAGTAACAGTCTATACTAGGGGTCCTATGAAGGGCTATATATCTAACGTATTATCCAACTGTTACTGAGGGGGGGCAGTACCGAAGGAAAAACAGTAATATCAGCTCTAGTCTAAGCTCCTAGTATCCCCCCCAAGTAACCCCTATAGTAGTTCCCTACATAATCCCCCATATAACCCCCCTTTAAGGAGTTTAGAGTATCGCTCATAGGAATAATAATAAAGATAAGAATACTAAGAATGATAGGAATAAGAGGAACAATTTATAACAGGAAGAATAGTGATTATAGTAATATTAGCTCTCAACAAAGGTGGTTCCTAGGAGCCAAAGGATGGGATCGGATATCAAGTGATTTCTGGCGGTCTCTATGAGCATTTACGTGACATACCTTCTGGGGACACTCGGACTAATTGCTGGGCTTGGCGTTGGAGGTGTTGCGGGGTTTGGGGCTCAAGGTCTGGCGTATTCCAGGAAGTGAAGGCCTCCACAGCCAGAAATCCTAACCCTAAACCCTAAATCCTAACCCTAAACCTGAGTCTGGAGGCCTAAGTGCGCCCCACAAAATTGCTGGTAGCAAGAAATGCGCCACTGGAGAAACCCCTGCCTCAAAATGGACTTTCCTGGAATGCTGCTCGAAAACAACTGAAATCTTCAGCACCCCCAAATCCCTAAATCCCCGAAGAAGGAAGCCAGCCACTCCCGTCCCAAGAGTGCAAGATCTTGATCTTTCCCACAATTGGGATACAGCGCTCTTTGAAATCCTCTAGGGAAAAGGGTTTAGGGTTCGGGGTTTGGGGTTTAGGAAGGGGTATGCATGGATTAGAGCTTGATGAAGGAAATTATCAGCCTTTTTCAGCAGTGCATACTTTTGCCAGCCACTCGCAGAATCAGGGCGGCAGAAAGGAATGCTCGGGTGGGCCCTTCCCCGAAAATCCAGCCTGGATCGGGTCCTGGAACCTTGGTCCCTTAGGGTTTGTACCCTTGGGTTTGGGCCCCTAAGCCATGGAATATGGCCCTTTATGAAAGTATTTGGGACCCAAAACCAGGGGTTGCGAACATAAAGGGTACCAACTTAAAGTCTTTGAAACTTCCAAACCCTTAACCACTAAAACCCCATCAGAAACACCAAACATCCTGACCCTTGCGGCCCAGGAGCGATAAACTTGCCGCCCTTCTTGGCCTTCAAAGTCTCCAAAGCCTTCCAGTGTCAGCATTGACGTGTGAGGCACTCTGAAGGTTTCCATGAATCCCGGGATCCCAATACGGGCTCGAAGATATTCAATTTCTTCTTAGAACGACTGAAAAAAGCGGCCACTATGCATCGCACCATGATACCCAGCCCTGGCATTCGTCAAGAAGGGGACTGTCAGGAGGGGTTTCAGATTTTGGGTTCGTAGAACTTTGCAGAGTTCAGCTCTAAACCCGCTTTCGGCTGCTCTAGTTAAGCATTGACAGTTCTTGATCTATATGAGGTACAGAGAAGGCCCAAAAATCCAGGGCGCAGACTACGTTGTTTGGATCGGGGGACGCTCCAGCAGCATCAACATCTACACACGTTCTTGCTTGCCACGGCTTTGCACATTGACCTGGAACCTTCTTATAGGGGCAAGTGACTTGTGAGCAGATGTCAACATTGCGGCCTGCTCTGGGGAGAACCCCAAAAACTACAATCCGTGACATGGCATTCTGGTTTTTCTGGCCGTTGACAGCGGCAAGAACTTTGACCACCAGCCATACGGGGATCACCTACGTGGAGATCACGAGTATGCTGGTCTTAGGGGACTTGGGCTCAGGCCTGGAAGGTCCTGCGACATGGGGCTTGAATACTAAGTACTAAGTAGAATCAGATTCCAGAGTGGATTCCTGTGGTGGGGTCTCCCAATATTAGGGTACCTTTCACTTCTAAGCATTCTAAGGCTTTGGTGTCTATGTTAAGGTCCCCTGTTTAAGGAAACTACTGTTTCACTTGAGCCGAGGTTCACGGATGTCAGTGATGATTCAGGCCTTAGAAAAGGCTATTTAGGGTTTAGGGTTT